AGGATGTCAGATCAGAGGGTCTTCCTAGAATTAAACTGTCTTTTTATTAGGACACCACTTAATGGTAAGGTGATGCTGTGTTCATTTCCTTAACAGATGGTTACACGTCTACTGCGTGCAGGAAGGGCCAGGCTCTGGACCACAATGGCGCTCAAGATGCTCCGCTCTGTAAGCTGCAGGGGCTTCTACTTCAATAGGGGAGAAAGACAGTATGCATCATCATGTATTTATTTGCCATTGTATAGGTGCTAGAAAGCCCGCTGAGAGCTCGAGTGATGGGAAATGGACCTAGTTTGGAGGAGCAAAAAGGAAGTGGCATTTAGACCCGGATCTGGAAGACCTGGAAGTGGAAGGTAGAAAGAAGCAGTGAACACCACCTGCGTGAAGGACTGAAGGCAGGGAAATGCGAAAAGACCCAAAGAGGCGGACCACGGTGTGGAGTAGCCCCCCCGTAGGGCAGAGACGTGAGGGTGGGAGGGCAGGGGGTGCATTCCAAGCACTTTCCAGCAGCAGCCATGGGCACATCCAGAATCAATCCCTCTCCCTGCTGGTCTCTCCTTTGTGGCCTGTGGCTTGTGTCAAGAGGGTCAGCCAGGAGCGTGGCACTATCAGTGGTCCGGGCAGACACATTTCTCGGGACCATGGCAAATCTGCTACCCCTGGCCTCATTCACCTGCTAGACCTATGGTCGATTCAACCAAGGAAAAGAACTCTGCAATTTGTCCTATTTGAGTGGCCATTTAGTCTTGTGAACATTACCTCTGGAGTGCTAGGATTTGGTTAGCATTTGATAAATCATCCAGACCTCTTTCTCTTATTTCCTTTTATCATACATGTGAAGTATTTTATGGGTATCTCCGCTCTGCAGTACAAAGGGGAGGGAGAGATCAAAGCAGAGGGATCCCATCACTCTGAAGCAGGTGTTCTGGCAAAGGTTAAAACCATTGAAGAAGGTCCACAAAGGAGAAAAACTAGGGTCACAAGTTGATCAATGACATTCTACTCTCTTAGTGGTTTGATACTTGGAAATACACATTATTTCTAAAGAGAGGAGACCCTAGGCTAATTGGGTGGGAAAAAAAGTTGGAATACACAGACCAAAGCATGTAACTGTGATCTGTCAAGTATAAAACAATAGGAAACTGCGGATGATTAAACCTAGGCTTTTATCGTCTTTATTTTAATGTGTTCAATATACCATTACTGTTATTTGATAATAAAAGCTTTTATAAACCACAGCAAAATGATTAACCAAGGTTGTCAAGGCCTGTTTAAACCTCATCTGAGAATGCATTTATAGAAAATGAAGGCTACTGAAGATGTATTTGTGTCACTTGAATAATATCATTAAATACCAATAAACCTATTCATTAAAAGAATAGCACTTTCATTAAAGAATACTCAGGCTGTAAGTAACAATCAACAATTTATTTAAAATTGTTCTATATAAATATATATAAATTACTCTATAATTTATTACTATTTTTCTCTATAACTTGTTCAAAGCATAAAACCTCTATAATACATTCATATTCTAATGCCCTATACAGCCACTGGGCTTGATTCTTATGCCAAATTTTTCTGTGTCATCAGAGTCTATTTCTCTTTGCCCATCACTCCGAGGCCTTCTCTCACCTCAATTGCACTGGTGTACTGCTCCAGTCGGCTGTCAATCTTGGACACCACTCCTGCTTGGTGAGTTGATTTGATACCACTGCTAAGTAGATAAACACACACACACATAAAAATATGAGACTCTTTCCCTGCAGTGATTCAATGATTTTTGACTGAACAATCAACCGTATTTACCTTTTCTGTACAGACTTATTCAAAAATTCTGCTCGCTCTTCAATCTAGAAATTGAAAAAAAAAATCAATATTTTCAGTTCATCAACACTTTCATCTCTGAAGCTGGTGAATAAAAAAAGCACCAGAGTGTGTTGGGGTACCTGGGTGTCAGGCACAGATACTTTCTGGAGGAGAAAACTATGTAAAATCTCAAGTGATAATGAGATTCAGGAGAGGAAGCAGGATTGCCAGTGGCCGAGAAAGTACATGGAGAAATATGAAGTACTGGAGAAGCATAGACAGATGGAATAAACACGCCTCTGATAGAGTGTAAATCAGAGGCAAGATAAATTATACTTCAAGGCTTTAACAATCAGTTAACATGTCGTTACCTTTAGGACATGCTTATACACATGTAGAGATACCACACTCTTTGATAAAAATTTTCCATGATTTTACCTATATATTTGATGTAGAATAGCATCAAAGAAGAAGCTAAGGACTGTGAGCTACCCACTTACAACTTAGCTTCATTTCCTAATGTGACACCTAATACTGAACTTGATTTGCCCTGAATGCAAAAGATGGGGTTAGGGATGGAGTGAAATTGGGGTACAGCTCGTTAGTAATGGCTGAGACCTGCCAGGAGGCTCCCCTTTGCCCAAGTGGGAAATAAGGCAGGAAGTCCCGCAGCAGCTGATACAGACAGCTACCAATATAGTGCTCTTCAGTATATTACAACGTTTTAAATCTAGGACTTTCTTTTTGCTACAACTAATGTTGCCAAATCAAAAAATATATTTTATGGGAACAGCATCATTCAAATCCAGATGTCCTAAAGGGGACCTAGCTTTGGACATTCCCTTTTGTACCTACATTACTGAACACAATTTGGCTTCATTATCACTTTTTGTCAGGACTTAACTGTCCATGTATTGATGCGCTCTTGTTGGGAAATTCCTTAACGTAGTAACTATGCAATGTGAGAATATATACTGAACTTGCAAATTAAATGGTCTGTGTAAGGAATTTAAGGAGGGAATTGGGCTTTTTTGAAGACCAAGAGGTGGCAGTGCTGTTCTGATAAAACCTGGGGGAGAGGGTGCATTTGATAATAATTTTTAGAAAATTGATGCCCTCTTTATTCCATTCCCTTTCCACTCCTATATATGGAAAAATAATAATAAAAACAAAATTTCAATTTTCTTAAAATTTATCCTTTGTGGGCTCTCCCTGGTGGTGCAATGGTTTGTTAAAGCACCACATTATGAAGTTCTCCGAAGCCACTGCAGCGTGAGTTCGATCCCCGCCCCGGAGGTGACCCACATGGCACAGCAGACCTCTTCTGACCCGCCCGCTGCTCCCCTCACCAGTTTGTTTCAGTCCATCTGCCTGTTCTACTCCCCACTTTGTCTCTGGTAAATCTTCTAACCCCCCACACCTCTGGCCTGTACCCCAGTTCTTGCATGCATAAATATATATATTTTTAAAAATTATCCTTTGCTTGTATTATATAAGAACACACATTTTCTGCTAATTTAATTTGACTATGAGAAGCTAGTTTCCGAGTTTCCCAGAAGAGATGCCGTGAGAAACCCACACATCACACTGGTTGATAATACTGAGAGGTGAAGAATCAAATGTTTTTCTTGCACTGGCACTCTGTAGTATAAACCTGTGACCATTTATAAGCATTTCAATGCCGAGAAGGAATTGAACAAGTATAGGAATGACACTGCAGAATATGCAAATAAGCTCTAAAACCACAGCAAAAGTAACTGGCTTTGCATGTCACATGATGAGGCCATACACACGTTTAAAGAGACACACACTTGCTTAGCCAGCTGGACCCTGACTGTGATGCTTGGCCAGGTGTGCTCCTTGTCAATACTTTGTTACCTGCTAGGCTGATGGCAAATGAAGGAAACTTAGCAGTGATAAAAGTTCAGATCTGTGAAGTAATTCACTGAGTCATTCAACCATATTTATTGTGTATTTTCAAGGAGTGTTAGCCCGCAATACAGAATATAGATTTGCAAATAATGGCAGATGAATTGGTCTTTCTTGAGTTTTCTGTTTTCTTTTCTCTGCATCTCAGCCTTTCATCACCTCCCTGGCAAGCTCCTTCCTGCCCTTCTCTCCTCTCCAGAAGCCCTTGTGTCTTCCGTGCTCAGGAGCCATGCCCCTTGCAGGCTGGCGGAGGACCCTACTCTCATGGCAACTTAGCTTATGTGGGTCATGGAACAACAGCGTTAACGTTTGACCCCTGCTGCTTCTGGCTACTCTGTTTTTTAAACAACAACAACAAAAAAAATTGAGCAACTAGCATAAAAAGCAGCTAAAACCTTTATAACTGATTTGCCCATTTAGTACACTTTAAGTAATAAATTTTTCAAAATTTTCAAAGCGAATCTAGGATTTCCCAATGTCACCCCCTAAACATTTCAGGGTACAAATTGCTCCCCGATCTCTCCACTGCTGAAACACAGAAACTTAGAGTGGCTGAAAGAAGCAGTAGAAAGATAAGTGAACACTTGAATAACCTGTTACTAAACAAGGAGCTAAAATCAAGTTTTATTATTATTTTGACAGGAGTATTATCAGAAGGCTCTGGGAGAAATTACCTTGAGAGATGAACCTTTAGGAGTGAAACACTTGAATGGTTTCTTGTCATCCGATAAGCTATCTTCTGGCATCTTCTGGCGTTTCTCTGCAGCTTCTGCTCTTCGCCTTTCAATCTCTTCCTTTAGCCTTCTTTTCTCTTCCTAACAGAGAAAGAACAAAGAAGGACTTCGGCATCTGTGGTAAGGCGAAAGGAAAGCGTGCTGCAGGGGAGCTCCTGCCTCAAGTTTCTTTATCTGTAATGTGAGGGATAGTAAGAGAAGCGCTACCGAAGATGAAACGAGCAAACCACGGCGAAAGACTCAGACTAGAGCACACTAGGTAGGTCACCACTGGCATCATCCCGTCGTCATTTAACACCACCTTTCCTTTATGTGTATTAGTGAATGTCACTGCTTCAGAAATATAAAGAAAATTGATAAATTGAAAACTGATAAATTTATTTGGGTTTATTATTGCAAAATAAACCCAAATATCCTTCCGCCTATTTCCTAGAAGCGTGAAGGCAAATGAGAACACTTCTGTGCAACTTACATAAACCGACGAGATGCTATTGGCCAAAATGTACAAGAGATGATTTTCCAGCTGTTCTCACCCAAGGGGTAGAGCCTTTTAGATGTTTTCATAAACCTGAAGCGCTGTAGTTTGACATCACAGGTGCTTATGGTCTGTCCATGAGCCCCCCCCCCCCCACCTCCACAGCCTCCATTCCTGACCCAGAGCATTCTCCCTTGTCTTCTCTCTCAGGCAAAAAATCTAGAGCTCCTATCCAGCTGCCCACCCTCTAGAGATTATTTTTGGGAGATGTAGGTAGTTTTTGACCAGCCAAACTAGATGGAATGTAAATGCCCTCAAGCAGGGATTGGGTATTTCTGAGTTGTTACAGAGCGGATCCTGTGGGTTACCTTCTGGATATTGTGACCCCTCAGATTCATATGCTGAAGTCCACCTCCACCCCAAGCAATAATATTCGACAATCAAAGGGATAATAGTTGGGGGTCTCCCTGGCTCCCTGGTGGCGCAACGGGTAAAGTCTCAGCACTATCAAACTATCAGCAGCCACTGTGACATGGGATCTATTGCTGGCCAGGGAGTGACCCACATGGCACAGCAGACCCTTCCTGTCTCATCTGCTGCTCTCCTCAGCAGTGTATTTCCGTGGATCTGCTGTTCTGCTCCCACTCTATCTCTGGAGCATCCTCTCACCCCTTGCACCTCTAGCCTACACCCCACTTCTTGTATAAATAAATAAAATAAATCTTTTTTTAAAAAAAGGATAATATTGGGCAGAGGGACCTTTGGGAGGTGAGAGGGCCTAGCGGGAGACCGAGGCAGGCATCCCATCGCAGCCAACTCACCACTGCATCCTCCTCACCTCCTCTCGGACTTTTCGCTCCGCTTCCTCCTGCTTCCTCTTCTGTTCCTCCTCCTCTAAGACCTTCCTTCGCTCCTCCCTCTTCTTCTTCAGCTCCTCCAGCTCCAAGGCGGCCTCCTGCTGCTTCTGTTTCAGTTTTTCAAACTCTTCACTCTCGGTTTCCCCGCGGCGGCGGCGCAGCTCCTCCAGCCGTTTGCCAGCTTCCTCGGCCTCCTTGGCCTCATTCACCTTTCCTCCAGAGCGGCTGTGGGGAAACACAAAGGAGATGACACGTGCCTGCCTGCTGCGCCTGCCTGCTGCCTCCTGTAGAGCGTGCAGGCCTGCACCCCAGAGGAGAGCGCCACGGCCTGCCATCTTTAGATAGGGAGTCCTCACTCCAGGGCAAGGAGTCACATGGGTCCCCCTGGAATCTCAGGTCTGAATCTGAGCCTCTCTCTTCCACTTACCCTTTTTTTCCTCAACTGTGCAATGGGGGCAAGCAGGCAATGCCTGCTGGACGGTGAGCTGGTACAACCAGTATAGAAAACAGTATACAACAGTATACAATTACCATTAAAGATCATGAACCCCACTACTGGGTAAATATTCACAGGGCAATTGAAAGCACAGTCTTGAAGAATATTTGCACACTGATGTTCAAGCCAGCATCACTCACAACAGCCAAGAGTTGGAACCAACCCAAATCCCATGAATGAATGAACAAAATGTCCTGTAACCACACAATGGAATATTATTCAACCTTTAAAATGGAAGGGGATCCTGTCACCTGTGACAACAGGGGTGAGCCTTGAGAACATTATGCTCAGTGAAATAAACCAGATACAAAGAGAAACATATTGTGTAATTCCCCTGTAGGAGGCACCTAAAGGACTCCCTACTTTTTATTACCTCCAGGCCTGAGTCTTAGAGAGTACATGAGGGATGTTTCTTGCCTCTATCTCTTGTTTCAGTTGTACATATATATGTAGAGGTGATGGAAAATTTATTTCTTACTAAGAGCTTAAGTTAATATTATTCTAAAATAGCCTAGATTTTCACATTTAAGATGAACTTCTAAAATTTGAACTCAAACAAGGCTATGTCCATCAGGTACAGTTGGACTGTAAAACACATGGCCACAATATCTTCTCTGGACCCCACTAGGGGTCGCTCAGGCTTCACTTTGGAAAAACAAAATGCCTGTCCTTAGGGAATGGTTAAGTAAATTATAATACATGTATCTGGCAGCATACTTTAAAAGCATTCTTTGTAGCTGTAAATTCATTGGCATATACATGATACATTATCATGCAAAATACAATAATAAGTTAAAATATATACTTCTACTCACACCTACACTTGTATCTACATGTATGTCTAATTTAAATGTATGCATATAGAAAATACTTGGAAAAAGTGACTGATGGTTTGTGTGGTGGGTACTTATTTTTAGACATCATTTTCTGAATGTTTCATAAGGAGTATATATTTTTCTTATATTCAGAAAAAAAGCATTCCCTTGTTAAAAAAGATGAACAGAGAACAAAACAAATTCTCACTTTACTTTCTCTGTAAAATCCTTGGTATAATCTGCCCTTTCTACAACTCACTCACTGAACTGAGACTTTTATGTTATGTTTCAGAGAAAACAATCTAGTCACAAAAAATGGGACTATCCAAAGGCACAAATCCAACACAACTCAAAAACAGGAGCAAGAGGCTCTTCCTGGTGGTGCAACAGGTCAGAGCGCAGCCCGCAGCTGCTTCAGCACCAGTTCGATCACCGGTCAGGGAGCTGACCCACATGATGCAGCAGACCTCTGCTGTGGCATCTTCTGTCTCACCCGCTGCTGCCCGCAGCAGTGTACTTAGTCTGCCTGTTTTGCTCCCCACTCTGTCTCTGGTGAATCCTCTCACCGCCCCTGCACCTCTGGCCTGTACCTTAGTTCTGTGTGCATAAATAAATAAATCTTTAAAAAAAAATAGGAGCAATAAACTTTTTAATAAAAAAAAAAGTTGTAAGTAAAATGAATGGGTAAAAAATCAACTCTTAGTAGATTAAATTAAAGCATGAAGCAAAAAAAAAAAATAGGAGCAAGAATTTTGTCCACATCACTTCTGCTTTGATGTGCTGGCATGACCTGGTCATTAGGGTGCCACTATATGGACATTTCTTCCATAAGTTTCTCCCTGTCCCCTTTCCTCTCCCTATTCTTGGCTTCTTTAGATGTAAGTCAAGATGAAATCAGATCTTTCACAACTTGCTTTCAGTTAGGCTAATCTAAATAAAGGATTCCCATCCGAGCTCCTCAATTCTTAACTATATGGAGCAAAACCAGACTTTTCTGCTTCTATCTGCAACAACTTCCAATTGAAACTAAAATGAATAGGGTGGCAGGGAAACAGCTAATAGTAGGGTGGTATCTTATTTCTATTTCTGCCCAAAGATGGAAAAATCGAAAGTCACACTGAAGGGATTTTAGTGGTCAAGTTAGTACCATCCCCAGTGACTCTTTGAATGACCCAGCTCTCTGGATTTCTATACAACAGACAAACTAATCACTCATTTGTGCTTTGACTGAAGCTGGCTGTTGTTTGTTTGTTCATTGTTAACCAAACTTCTTTTTACTGAGACATTTTGTTGAACATCATTTCTCTCAACAAAAATGTCCATTCATACACACAAAACACACTTGAAGCTATCAAATAATAAAGCAAAAAGTATTGCTAGGCAATAATTCATTGAACACTTTCCATGAATCTGAAACAACATGTTCTAGGACTTTAAAATATTACCTTACTGGCAGGTTAACAAGCTCCAATGAATGTCGAGCTTTTCTATAAAAAGCTCTACTTTCTTGCCAATCCTGAGTGTCATCTATAGGCTCTATATGTTATATTCCCTCACAATTAATTTAGGTCTTTTAGGCATACTTTTCCTTCCACATACTTTAGGCTCTGTTTTGACTAAATACGTTTCTGCTCAAATTTTTCCAAAAATTCTTTGGTGGCAACTATAATTATCTAGCATCTTCGCATCTTGAGGAGCTGGAAATGTCCTTCCCTAGAAACCGTGCTAATTTCTGAAGGCTACAAAGACTTTGGTGTAAGGAGTGTGTTCAACTTCTATACAGCACTTGCTTGGGGACTTTCTAATTTGACGCGTTCAGAAAAATCGTCTATAGCCAAGGCTACAATAGCCTATAGCCAAAGAATAACCATAGGAGGATTCAGGTTAGAGGGACCCAAGACTCTTCCAGACCATTTGGCAGAGCATCCACTGACATAACAGTGGATTTGGCACCAGGAGTTGGAGGGTGTGTGTGTAAGAATAGGGCACAAAGAATCATTTAGCCAGATGACTGTGGCAGCTTCTGCTACTAAAGTCCTACCAAATTGGTGGGAACCTTCAGTGTTCAATGTGTAGAATGAGTATTTACCTGCATATACTAATTATCTGTCCTAAAATCAATTGCTTAGATTTTCTGTGAGATGGGGGATAAAGAGGAGAGAGGAGATGCAGCTGAATCTATGCAAGGGACTTTCCCAAGCCATGAAAAGGGCCTTTAGTCTCATGTCCTCTGCCACTGGACAGATTTCCCAGTGTAAATTACCAGCATTTGCCCAAGACAGATCTTGTTAACTAAGTTCAACCTAGTGATTCCCAAGTACTGGGCAACAGAACAATCTTAGTTTCATGCAACATTCATTTACAACTTTTAGAAAATACATTCTTGACAATGTATTAAGAAGTGTCTTTTAGGAAGTTGGCTGGATCCTACAGAGAATGAATCCCTAGTATCAACTCCTATCATACCATTTCTTAATAAATTGGTGTTCCATGAGTATCTTAGGTCAGGGAGGAAAAACAAGGATGCCAAGCATGATCTGCTTGCTAAGTAATGGAAAAAGCAGATTGAACGTTGTCCTGGCAATGACGCTGCCTTCTGTTAGTGATTGATAGCCTAACCTGCTGACTGAGTTTTTCTAAGACAATAGCCAGTGACCTCACAACAGAAATATGTTGCCTGTTTAGCACGTTTCTCAGATCAGAGGACACTGATCTCACCCTAACGCCCCCTGCCCCTGGCTCCCAATGTGAACACCGCTAACTTGTCACTACTTCTTACCTGAAAGTATTCTCCGTATGTTTAAGTTTGTGAGTCATGAATTCTCCATTCTGAGGCTTCATTTCTGTAAATCCCTTCTTTCCATCCACAAAGCTCTTAACTTCTTCTTTGGGCTCTTTGTCCTTTTTCATTTTCTCATCTTTGATCTGACCAACCATCCACATTGGGAAGAAACATAATGATAAAAATCTTATTAGGTTTTGGTCCTGTTATCAAATAAGATCCCCAAGTTCTAAGGAATCCAGAAAACTCAGAAGTAAAACAAACCACTGGAAGATAATCTGGTAAAGATAGAACCAGAGCAGAATCTTAGGTCATGAGATCTGGTCTTCTAGGCTCTCCACAGAAACCTAACCACAATTTTAGGAAGTCAAAGTCATTCCTGGTTTCACGGGAGCTTTATTTTTCAGTGCAGGCAGTGGTACTGTTTGGAAATGATTATGTTCTGGGAATGCCACGTAAAAGTGGCAGTTTGCAGTTCCTGCTGGGAGGAGTGATTATTCGTGTGACCTTGATGGAGCATGGCCAGATTGCTTGGCTGGACAGGTTTCTTCTTGGAGGGGGGAGGGCATGCCTCTTTGAAAAGGACACCAATGTGTGGAGATGAAAGAAGAGGAAAACTACCCAGTGAGCCAAGCCAACATAAGCAGATGGCAGAGTTCTGCTTAAATACAAGATCACTCTTGTATTTTACTCAAATAAGTAGGGTCTCAGGGATACAAGACATAATGACCCTTCCTTTGGGAGATGACCAGAGGTCGGTGGGATCGTGTCTGTAGTCACGAGACTACATGCGAAAGGAATAGGGAAACATCCCAGGCTTTACCTGCACTTTCATGGGGGTGATAATTTAGTTTTTGGTAGTGATTTTGTGATTCTTGTGGGAGGCAGAAGAAGACAATAGAAGGAGAGCAGGTGTTCACTTAAGCCCTTACAGAAATATCAAATTGAATTTACAGTTTTGTGGGGGGTAAAAAGGGCTGCAAGTTACCTTACCTGTAACCTGTATCATTTTACCCATCAAGAAAAGAAGAGTGAAAACAGCTGAGGGTCATTGTTGTTTTTTTTTTTTTTTTGGGTCAAGAGGGAAAAAAAAATAATACAAGGTTTGAAGACATTCAGAGAGGATGGGCAGGGCTTGAGAACTTAGGGATTCCTGCAAGAGCCAACCTGGCAAGTCTCCCCCTACCGAACCACTCACCTCTCTCTAACTCTCCCTTGGATACTCTCTGAACATCCATTCCTAAGGAGCCTATTTCAGTAAGCTGACTGTGTGTTCTTTTCTTTTGCTACTTACTGATGCTATTTATTGATCACTCGATGCCCCATTGCCTTTTTCTGATTTTATTGGATTAAATTACTACCAATTACTCCCTACTATGATGCCCTACCTGGGTAAGACTGATCTTTTTAACTAGGTAAGACTGATCTTTCTCCAAGGAGTACAGACAAAGCTATCCCTGGGACATGCTAAGGGGTCGGGGGGAGGACTCTACTTTGGCCATTCTTTCGAAGGGTTTTGCCTAGAAGCCAACAAACTGTATGCTTTGAATAAGTCATCTAAGTCCCATGGGATGTTCAGAAAAAGAGGAAAATGGATTAGATGATCTTTCCTAGTCATTCTGTCATTTCAATCAAGGCTCCTGATTTGTGTGAGAGGTTACAGAGAAGAGACGGAGGTGCCAAGCCAGCCCTAAACCTTTAATGTGGTTCCTTGGTGACTGTCCTGGCCCAGGGAGGAGTCAGGATTCACTGAGCAGGCGGGGTCTCGTCTCAGCCCATCACTGTTGGACAGACTGGACATTTATACGCTGGTTAGGAAGGATCTGGGTATACAAATTTAGGGGTGAGGGTATCCCATTTCAGGGGGATTTTTGAAACAAATTCTGAGCCAAACCTCAGGGGTGTGGAGCACTATTCAAAGAAAAATTCCTTTGAACTCATTTCTCCCATTGTAGACTCAGAGATATTTCCATTTTCCCAAAGTGCATTATCTGATTTACTGGGCAAGAGCGTTCATAAAATAGATTTGTAAATCAGTACGTATATAACAGAAAGAGTTGCCATCCTTCCTCTTGCCACTGTTTTTTTTTTTTTTTTTTAAAGTTTTGCCTTTATGGGCAAAGGTTATGGTAGATGGTATGATTCCACTCTCTTTGGAAAAAATCTGAGAAAAATTTCCAATGAGTTAATAATTGAGTTTAAGTGAAAATTATTTTCTCTTTCTGGAAACTAAACAGAGTAATCCACCAGGCCTTTACATTTTATTTTAGGGAACACAGTGACATAATGGGTTGGATTCTATAGCAGATTTAACCCAAGTTCAGGGGATTCTGAGCCACTTGGGGAAAGCATTAGAGATCTTGTAGGTCAGAAGAACTGGAAGGTCACCCTGTAACTGTGAAGAAAGCTGGAGCTGGTGGATGAGCAGATAGTCACATGTCCTGAAACTGGGTTTGTGGCATACAGGAGAATGTTGGCCCACTGTGTGGAGGGCTCTGGCCAAAGGTGCCCACGGGGATAAAACAGGACTTTGGGCCATCCAATGGGACCATACACTGGCATGTGTGGAGGAGGGAGGGATATCAAATGGCCTCTCCTTGCGCCAGAGAGGCCCTCAACAAGTCAAAGGAGTAAGTCTAAGAGGACTTAGAAGTTGGTCTCTATATTGTATGCTGTTTTTATTACTTTCATTATTATGTAGCTGTTGTTTTGCATCTGTGGTTATTTGCCTGTACTGTCTCTACTGCCTTGTATTTGTATTCTTTGTATCATCGTGTAACTTATCCTTTGATATGTTTGATTCCAGACTAATGACAAGAACTAGGTTTGTGCACTTTTGTTAGGTCAGAGGCCCCATCACATGAATGTCCCTGTTACTGTAAGGCTGGCCCACGGACCCCACTGGGACCTGGGGCTCCACCCCAGGCCCATCACATCAAAGGCTACATTTTATAAGATTCCCAGGTGGTTTCCATGTGCCCAACATCTGGGAAGCTTGGCTTATATGACATGAATATTAATTTCAAAATTATATGAGTAGCTATACTGGAAACTGTTTTTCTACTAGAGGCAGAGGGTGGGGTGTTTGCAGAACTCTGGGGTCAAGACTAAAAAGAGATATTTTCCAGTTGGAGAGGAGGAAAAGGAACGTGCAATCTGTCACCACAGAGTTAAACTGCAGTGGAGAAAGAAGGCTTTTGTAGGGATTGGAGTAACTTACAGGCATGTTTTCAAGGCTCAGGTGAGAGGACTCACATGATGTTTGTGTTTACTTGTGGCTGACAGATACTGAAGAGTGACTGACGAGGAAAGAAAGGCCTTTTTTTTTTTTTAAACAAAAATGTGGGGTGGGGGAAGAGGGTGCTGTTTAACGAGGCGACATCATATAAAATCTGATTTCAGGCTGTTTGGGTAGAGCAAGCGTACAGCTAGCCAGAGGGGCCAAATCCTGTCAGAAACAGAGGAACATAAGACACAAACAAGGGACTATTGCTTTTTTAGGAAAAAAAATGTTTAAGAAAATAGCCACCGCTCTACTTAATCTGGTGAACTATTTCCTAAAGAGGGGCTTTTCTGTTTCTAGTTCTATGGCATGAGGGTAGAGAACTATAGCATTTATCTGAGCTGCACTCTAAAGTGACAATTCAAGTAATTCAAGCCTTCTCATCTTTGATAAGTCAGCCTTCCCACATTCAAGTATTTTAAGCATTGTCACAGTGTACATACCGGATGACCCGGGGCTAACAGCGCCCATCATTAAAACAAGCATTTTTGACCAAAGCGGCTCTTTTGAAGGTGTGGACGTGACATTGTCCCTGCCTGCCCCTGCCTTGGTTACTTACCCACAGTCAACACCCTGCCACCAGCTCCTGTGTGTGCCTCAGAAATGCAATGCAGAACATTTTGCCAAACTTTCCTTTTGAAAACCAAATATCATCTTCAGCTCACTCAATTTTCTACTGAGATATGGGAGGGAGGGAGAGGTGTTTTTCCTTTGAAAAGGTCAATCGTTAATCTAAGCCAGTTGGAAATAGTTCATGGTTGAAATGAAAGGAAGATGGCTCAAGGAATAAAAATCAGCATGGAGAAGAGGAGAGGGCAGGAGAGATGGATCAGAGCGGGGTTTGCCAAACTTTTTGGACCGTGCCTGGTAATAAGAAAGACAACTGACATCACGGGGCCGTACTTACTAGCTAGCTACAGCACCCACCGAGGTTCGCGACCCACGTTCATGTTTGAAAATGCTGATGGATGCATGTTGAGAACCTCTGGTTGATTATGCGTATCAGTGGGCCATGGCTTGAAAAGCACTTGATCCGAGACGCCCCTTTGGAGACCATGAACCCACATGTCAGGGAACACTGCCCTCTGCTTTCCGGGGAGCATCTGCCTCAGCCATATTTACCTCATTGTCTTTGCAGGCAGGCTTATCTTCTTGGGACATTTCTCTCTTAGCTTGCACGTTAGCCCTTTTTTCTTCTTCCTTTTTATTGTCAAGAATGGTAAGGTCACTCATGCAAAAGAAGCCCTTTCTAGCTTACCAGAGTGCTATGGTGCTCAGATCATTCTGCGTGCAGTATGGGGTGATTCTCAGTGCTCACACTCCCCCAGGGGGTGGCAGTGGTTCTCAGTAACCCTGTGGGATGTTTTCTACCCCCACACTGGTTTATTTCTTCTGGTGCTTCCTGTGCTGCGGAGAGGCCCGTGTGTGGTTTGGTGCATTTTATTCCTGCTCTTCTCAACTGGAGCTGTGCTCATAAACCCCTTGGAAGAAGCAGGAGTGAAAGGCAACTTCAGGGAAATGCAGGATTAGTGACAACAGCGAGTTTTCTCTGCAAAGGTGAACAGGCAAGCAGCTCATTTTTTTTTTTCTTTAGCTTCCCCTGGGGAGCTGGTAGTTAGACAGAATTTTTAATGGAGGCTTGCAGACAGAAAAAAATCTTTGATAATTTACAAACACCGTACCTCCCCACCCCAACTGTCTCTACTCTTTCTTGTGCCACCTGAATTTATTTGTATCCTTCAAGGGGTAAAAAGGACCAGGCAGTAACAAGTGGATGGTGCCCTATGAATGGGTTTCCGCAAGTCTGCAAGACTACATTAAACTTGGGGCTACATGATGGCAAATCAGGCTTTACCTTTTTTTTTTTTAAATAAAAGGTCCAAACTGGCTCCTTCCCCTCCTTTCTTACCAGTTAATTTCAAAAGTTTGATATTTCTGATCAGGCTTTTTGGATTCACTTCCCCTGCCAATTTTCTAAATTTGTGTTAAATTCCCCACACCTGGGAAGGTGAGGCGCCTTCTTTCTTTTGCCTCATGTAGACCCGGGTAGAGTTAAGTTGTTAAAAGGAACAGGTTTAGATGCAGGTGCAGACCCTAAGTCAACACAGTGCTACCCCATTTATCATCCTGGGCTAATTCATTTTTCTGGCTTTCATAACAACTAAGCGTGGAGCAATTCATTTCTCTCTGGCTATGCCCATGAATCTGGTTGACTGATATTTAGCCATCCAGACTGCTTCACGCTTACAGATTGTTATGGCTTGAAAAAACGAATCGCTTGCTAAATGACCAAGCAGGTGGTGCTATGGGAACGTGGCTTCAGTCACAAATCTGCTGTGCATTACATTTCTCATAAGTCACAGGCTTCACACATTTGGTGCAAAATGTTTACTGTACCTGTTTCTTTTGGCCAGCTGCCTGCAGTTTGTCTTCTGGGACTTTGTTTTCATTTCCCCATCTCCCTTCTATTTTCTCATCCACCTTTTCCCCATTTAGCTTTCTCTCTTGCACTTCACTTCTGCTCTCCTCTAGCTCCTTTTGACGCCTTTGCTCTTCTAGCTTAGCTTTCTCTTCTTCCTCCGCCTTGGCCCTCTCCCTGACCTCGGCTGCCCTTCTCTCCTCCTCAATCCTGCCCCTCTCCTCTGCCTCCCTCCTTTCTCTCTCCTGGGCAGCCGCTTTCTCTTCGGCTTCTACTCTTGCTTTCTCCTCTGCTAGCTTTCGGTCTTGCTCAGCTCTTACTCTTTCTCTTTCTTCTGCTTCCAGCCTGACCCTCTCTGCCTCAGCTCGTTCCCTTTCTTCCTCCTCCTCCTTGTCATTAGTGATCATCTCCTCTGAGTCCCGCCCCTGCTCCTCCTCTGTTCTCGGCTCTTCGGCGGCACCGATCTGCCCGTTTTTCAACATTACCGCTCTTTCCTCTTGGGAGTCTGTTTTCTCTTCTCCCACGGCCTCTACCTGGTTTTCCGCAGGGCGCCTCTGCTTGGGCTTCTCTTCCTCCTCTTCTTTTTCTTCTTTCTTTTCCGCCTCGCCATCCCTCCACTCATTCTTCTGGTAGGACTTGGTGATGATCTCTGTTTCCTCTATCTCGAATCTTTCCTGGCAACTGTTCCTCTTTTCCTCCTTCTCGGCAGTTTCATTTTCTGCAGTGTTGTTTTGCGTTCTTCTGCTCGGCAGGGACAAGCTCGCATCTGTAATGGTGGGGTCGAACTCCTTCTGGCGCTCCAGGGCTTCCTGAAGGCGTTTCTGGCGTCTTTCCTCCCGCCGCGCCAGGCGCTCCTGCAAGGCCGCCTCTTCGTCGCCCTCCGCCAGGGTGTTGGCGGTGGTGGACTTGACCTCCTCGTTGGCCACACTGCAGGACCGAAACAGCAGAGTCAGCTTACTGCTTAGTCAGTCAGCGGGACTCGTGTCCACACTGCGCCAGAAGGACAGCAGCAGCCCGCAGGACCAAGCCCCCGCCCACCTCCGTGTGTCCCGGCCTTGGACCTCACCATATCGGCTGGTGTCCACCTGGCTTTCAACTCACAGCACAGGCACGTTTCCCCTTGGTCCTGGACACTGGACACTGGACTCGACACGCCAAAAGTGCTCAGTATTAATGCTCCCTGGGGACCTCCCCTCAGGTGAAAATTGAGCATTAAAAAAAATAAATAAAAGGAATTACAGCTTTTTAATAGAAATAATGTGTCATTATAACATTATGCAAGTTTTAGGGGTGCTGATGAGCATTTTTAGCATATACAGACCGCAGGTCCCCTCACGTTTTGAGCTGGGTAACTCCAAGGTGCCTGTGCCATACTGGATCTTAGGATTCCCCAAGGCTCTTGAGCCCACAGGGTCACTTGCTTGGTGATGACATGTTTAGCTGGCTGCCCTGCCATTCCTGACTCACTTCCTGTATGACTTTCTAATGGGGTGTCCTGGATTACTTTATAATTCAACCACTTGTGTTCTACGCTGTGTTTGAGCCCTGCTTCTTGGGGAACACAAGCAGAAATGAGGACTAAACTGTTGTAGTGAGTGAATTCCTCTAGGTCATTTGGCAGTCTCATTTCTCATTTGACACCAAGTTGTTTGTTTTTTTTTTTAAATGCTCTTCAATTTTCCTCAGAGGGCAGGTCCCCAGGGGGAGCATTAACACTGAGCACTTTTGGTCCATTTGCTTGTAGGATTGTTTTATTTTCTGTTTTTATCTTTTGTAGTTAGATGTGTTTCCTGCAGACAGCAAAATGATGGGTTCTGTTTTTTTTTTTTTTTTTTTTTAAATCCATCCTGCAACTCTGAATACTGAGCACTTTAGGCTTGTAGAGTAGCGCCCATGTCCAGAGGACCAAGGGCAAACTTGCTTATGCTGTGAGTTGAAAGCCAGGTGGACACCAGCAGGTATGGTGAGGTCCAAGGGGAGGACATGGAGATTCTGGAATGTGGGTCTGGACTGATGGATGCAAAGTACCCAGAGAGGGAGGGAGTGGAGGCTACGATGGCAGAGGTATCCTCATACCAGTGCCCCCTGCGTAGGGATGTCTAGCACCACAGCTCATGTTCCTCCTTCTGTAGCTATGGGGAAGTGGCTGTAGTCAAGGACTATGTTTTCTGTCCTGTCCTCTTCCTGGCACCTAGAGAGGGCCATAGGGCCAACACTTTCCAGGGAGATGTGTCCAGAGCAAGACTCTGAGAAGCAGAGACACAGTCTCTTCCCCCTCTGACTCTGCTGCTGGTTGGATCCCAGGTCTCCAATGCCTCAGGAGCTTGCAGTCACCAGAGGAAAGGACATGGGTGACTGCTTCTACCTACACATCAGAAATACCCACACTGGACTAACAACTCACAGTGATGCACTCACTAACATACTAAAATGTAGGGGTCTGTTGTTATAGCAACTGACATTACCCTAAACATACATGTACCATCTCGGTCCTTGCTCAAGATTTTCATGTGTAGAGAGACTCTTGACCTTCTTTTTGACAGCAGACAAAGAACTGCCAAATTAATGTTTATAGAAAAAAAAAAAGCAAAGAAAACCTCTAAACACCAGACTGTACCAGGTCCATCACTCCACTCACTATTGTGGGTGCTGGATGCTGCACAACCAAAGGGTGTTGGTCCCCACTGGCAGGAAACACCAGTCACGTGACATCAGGGCCTGTGACCAGAGTTGGAAGAAGAAGCCTTGCAGTGTTTAGAAACTCCATCACATTTCATGGTTCATTCTGAACTTGGCCCTTTTTGAAGTTCAAGTTCACTTAATTTTGGAAAAACACATTTCACATTTAACAAAAAGAAATGGCAGAGTGAAGCCCAGATTTTAAACTTTCTTGACCTTTAGCTGTTGCTGCAGGATACTCTATGAACTAGGTGTATGTGAACTCCATTTCCCTGAAAGTACAAATACTTTAAAATTTAAGGGGAAAGTCCCTACAAAGCTATTTGGATCAACTGAGTTCAAATCACTCATAAAGGGAACCCCAAGTTCCAAGGAGCCAGCTAGGGGGAAGTACTCAAGTAAACCTAACGGTCATCACTGAATCTTTCTTTTCTTATTTATAAATCATGACAGCATCATCAGAAGTGAAGGGCTGGTTAAGGGACTCGGTTAGCCCCTAGAGAAACACTTATTCTTCTCCTGGGTCATTAACATCAGTGGGAAAGTATGTGTTCTCAGATCTGAATATGCTTCACTAGAAAAACAAAGGAATGTGTATTCAATCAACAACCCAACATACTCGATAATAAAATGTGGGGAAAAAAGGAGATGTAAAAGTAGAAGCAAGATTTTAAGAGCAAGAAAACTGCATTGTTCTTGACCCTCCTCATTTCTACCGGGACATATATAGGCAAAGATGTAGTGGCAAACTCATATGTTTGTTTGAATAATTACTTAGTTAAATAGAATTTTGCACTGTGCAAAATCAACTCTCTAGCTAATTGACTATTAGTGGGTATTGTGATTAGTTATTGTGATTAGAATATAGTGATTAGAGAATATTCTCTATTCTGTAGCAAATAGAGAAAATTCGGGATATAGATTAGGGGAAAAAAAAAAAGACACTTGCAATTCATGCCTACTTTTAAAATTCAAGTATTATCTTCTCCTGGTAGGGGTAGGGGACTTATTAAGCTAATACATCTTCAGTTCAAAATAAATAGCAATACTCTAAGGAATGAATGTAAATGGCTCTCCTTTAAAGATGCAATCCATCATATTTAGTGAATTAAAAATTTACTAGATCATAAAAGAAAGTAAAATCCTTCCAAGGAGCGTGTTTAGGGAGCACAGCAAATAAAGGAATATTGTTTAGGTTGATTTGTCTAACTCAGACTGATTATCCATCGGATTAGAGTTGCTGGAAATGGCAAAGACTTTGAGTGACAAAGAAGGAAATGCTTTGCCCAGCATGGCCCTTCATCTGGCAGGTTGGGAAGCAACTTAGAAACTGTCCATTCTGAAGAGGCCAGTACCTGTTCTGGGCGTTCACCTCCACTTGCTCCGTCACCTGCCCCAAGGATTCTTCTTCTTGCTTCTGCCGCAGCCTTTCCTGCCGGGCTCGGCGGCGCCTTTCCCTGGCGGCTTCTTCCTCATCATCGTCATTCCTCTGGTAGGCGATTCTGCAACAACACGAAGAAACTCCTGAGACAGCTGCCCACCCCATCACCCACCCTGGGCTGGTTTAGCCCTGAGTCCCTAACACGATGACTCACTGAAGTCCAGCGTTCTAGTAGGATTGTCTTGTTCCTTCAGATAAAACAGCGCTGCCTGTTTTCAAACTGTAAAGGGCAGTATCTGGAAAGCATTGGCCCAGCAGTCCCAGAGGATCATGCACAGTGGACAGAGAACGCTGGAGCTGAAACTGTACCTACCCACGCAGGCTTCCCACCGAGACTGCACATCAGCTTCCTGAGATGCCTTTACCAAGCTGATTGCCACTACATGAGATCGGGAAGCCGACATCCAAAACACTGAACCCAAAACAACAAAAACATGGACTAAAAAGATTCAGCATGCTGTCTGAACATCTTGTGGAGATGTTGTTAAAGGATCATTGAAGAATCAAGCTAAGTTATCGAAGTTGGACTTCATGTTAAGAAGCCCAACTTGCTAATTAAAATCAAGAGCAAGATTTTATTTTTTGCTCTCAGTTCATTTTCACTGGAGAAAAGACAGTGTTTCTTACACCCACCATGAGGCTTCAAAGCCAGGGACTTTCCCTGGATGGCCCCTCTCTTGTCCTGAAACAGGACCCAGGCGGGTAGATGAGGCACAAAGGACTCATGAGCATGTATGTCATTTTGCTTCCAATTTCCATCCAAACAGATGCCTATTTAGGGAAGTGACAGTGTCACTATGTCAGATATGTTTCCTAAAATACTTCTGAGAGAAAGAACTGGAGGTAGAGAGCTACAAATATAAACTCCACAGGAAAGCACCTGCTTGGTTGACTTTGTTACTCTGGGGGTATATTGAGATACAGGGTGGGGGCCACGCGGAGCATTGCAGGTCTGGCTGGCTGACAGGGGCCATGGGTTGTGATGGGTCTGCTTTTTTTTTTTTTAAAGATTTATTTATTTGTGCATACAGAATGGGGTACAGGCCAGAGGTGTAGGGGCGGTGAGAGGATTCACTGGAGACAG